CCGCGGTACGGTACATGAGTATTTTTGTAAATACGTTCGTATTAGGATTATATAAATACTTAAGATGTAACCCTACTTTTAATAATGAAATAGAACGGCCGCTCGCTCTCGTGATGTAGGCACATTGCCGAATCACGTAAATCTTTGTGTGTTATTTTTCGCTTACTTTCTTAATTGTTTGATTCCTTACTATTCACCATAATTGTTGCACGATCACAACAAATGTTAAGCAGATGATATAGGTAGGGCAAATTATGTGTTATCCCCATCAACGCCCTTATCTCACTTTACCCTTTTAACTGTAGTTTTGGACATCACTCTGTCACTCAACTACAAAGTTTCTCATATCACCTCTCCAACTATCAATTTTCTCATATTTTACTTTTCACCGTAGTCATTGATTTAATATTCTCCCTACTTTAGACACTAAAAAACATGTACTAAACTACATATGTGGATTTTTTTTTCTGTCCCTAATATGGGGGAAGTTTAATTTCAGGGTTGTGTAAAATTATTTTAAATAATTGAGACAATATGTGAAAATTTATAGTTGTGGGGATAATGTGACATAGTTGAGAGGATCCATGCATAATTTTTTTCTTCTAGGAATCTAATATGTTTAGGTAAGGGTTAATAGTCTGAGGGCTGAGCCCCTTGGAACAAATAGAGACTGCAACTGCAATATTTGAAAGAACAATCCTTTTGGCCATTGCTGCCATTGAGTTATTGGGTGCACCGTAAATTTAGCTGCAACAGAGCTCGTGTCGAGAGAGCGACAGAGTTCTCATGCATTGAATATTTAGCCGTCTTATTTAAAGTTTAGGACAACACAATGGAGACTATAAACTCCATTTGTTGAATTATTTAACGTACAATACCATACTATACTAGGGTTCAACTCCTACAATGACAACAGTGGCCCAATGGTTCTCCTTTTCAATTTATGTAGCTGTAGTCTGCGCTGGTGTGCCAACCAACTCGGGCCAAGAAGTCTTAACTGAATAAGCACACAAAAACTTGTATTAGAATATATACTATATTATCTCCTTAGCATTGAAACTGGAAAAGAAATCTTAGCAATAGAACTTGAACTCTTTACCTGTAGCAAGAATTGATGCCATGCATCCTCGGTGATTATTTTTTTTCCTTGGCTTCGTTTGCATGAATAGGAGCAGGAGCGGCCCAAGGCAAATTGACGTCCTTGGCAAAATTCTTGTATGAGACCCCATTATATTGTGATGATAATATATGATATTATTTATATAGTTATTTAGATATCAAACTTTGTTTGTTTAAAATTTAATTTTTTACTATTTGAGATGAAATAATACTTTTTAAACTTTTATATTTAATTTGCTTTTACATATCATTTTAACTAATGACATTCATTCAATTCAAGGGCTAATAGTTAGCCACTTATGCATTGGACCGAATCTAAAAAAAATTTAAATTTAATTAAATCCGAATCTAAAAAAATTTTTTGGCCCTAGGCGAAGGTTTCAGCCACTTATGCATTGGACCGGCTTTGAATAAGAGACGGTTTTGTTTAGGATATCGAAATACCACTTTCCAGTATTTTTTTTCACAAATTTTCTGGAGGAAAATTCATTAAATCACATGTAAAGGTTTTCTAGTTTATTGTTTTTTTTTAATTTTTTTATAGTATTTTATCATTTTTTAAATCAAAGGTTTCAAATCATCTAAATCAAAACTGATTGTCCGGATTAGAAAGTTCGGCTATCATACAATGAATTCCAGACACAAAGACAAATGATTTATCTAACTTTTAACCTTTAACCCTTTAACTTTTACGTTTTAACATAACCATCCATGACCAATGAAAAGGACATACATGAACCAAATCACATCTGATTTTACCATGACCCCATCCTCGATTGTCATCTGTTGGCTGCATTGATGACGGACAGGTTCATGAAATTTCCAATAGGATTGAGTTAAACATGTGTAATAATTGGGATCCAATTATGGTACAATATTGTTTTCTTTTCTAAACAAAAAAATGTATAAAGTTCTTTTATTTTATTATATCACCATAATTTATTATTTTCAAGGTCAATGGTTTTAAATAAATCAATTCTTCATTGGAATCTAATTCTCGTAATTGAATGAGAAGATATTATGGATATAAATATGTTTCTTAAATTTGTTTATCAAATGTTGTAATTCAAATAAGGTGTAAAAATCTCTTACATTGAATGTTTGGTGGAAGTTAGCAGATCCCACTGATCCAACTACACACGCCAATTTCAAATACAAAATTAGGTAAATGATTTGATAAGCATAACATTTCTAAAGTGTTAGGTTATTAGACTCGTCCGACCCTGTGTATGTCCTCAGTAACTCATTAGTGATCCGATATGGGTTGGATCTGGATCATGTTTACAAGAGACCCGATAGAACTTGGTTAAATCGGACTAGGTTATACCACTTCATGTAATACCAAGCCGAATAACCCTAGCAAAAGACAAAATTTTACAGAATCTTCACCTTTTGTGTAGGATCTGAGCATTGCTGTCTTAGATGTATTATGGAGATAATTTGATATTTTTACATGTGTTTTTAGTTGATGTATTCTACGTAAAGTCAAGCATAGTTATTACTATTGTTACTACTAGTAATTATTTATTTTTATTTTTATAATTTGATCAACCAATCTCGCTAGTTAACCCAATGGTCGAGCCAGTGAACCAATCTCTTAGACGGGTTGGTGTATGGGCCAAGTTTAATAAGTTATTAGTTTGCTAGTATGACTCGTGAATCTAACTAAGAGATTTAACAAAGGTCCATGAGTAAAACTTTTCTTTGTAATAATCGAAGTCTCACAGACGATAAATAGGACCTAGTACTTGTGGCTATGAAAAGCATTGGATAGTACAAAGTTAGGCTGCATTGCTGAAAGACAAATGCATGAAATTCTCGTGCAATCTCCATGAGTTAAAATAGGTGTAATAATCTTACCCAGCCAAAAAAAAAAAAACAGGTTTAGTAATCACATGCAAACTGTAAACGAATTCTAATTTCTTCTAGTAATCACATCATCGTAATGTATTATGAAGGACTGAAAAGAAACTACTAGCTTTGGGTTTAAGTTCCAAATATATATATATTGAGCATTTTTTTTATTGAACTCCTCTTAACTCACAGCAAGTAGTATTAGAGTCATTCTCCTAATTGAGTATTGTCACTCTATAAATATGTTAGGGAGTATTGTCCCTAGCATCACACAGATATCTGTAAAAGACTCTATCTTACCTATGTCGAGACCGAAATTAAAGATCTCACCGCATACTCTGAGCTAAAGAGTAATTTTGGTGAGCGTAGCTGTGAAGACTTGAACTCAAGTATTGAATAAGAAAATTTAAGTTCTTACCCATTGGATCATTCTAAACTAAATAATTCCTTTTTATTTGCATTTTATGCACAAGTATACTAAAAATAGTCACAAATATGGAAAAATGCCCACAAAAGTGATAATTTTTTTTGCATGTAAGAAAAGTTATAAAAATAGTTACCACAAATATTGTAAAAACATCTACAATAGTGGTAAAAATAACAACAAAAATTATAAATCACCTACAAAAGTGAAACTTTTTAATTTTAAAATAACTCACAAAAATTATAAAAATACTGTTTAAGCTAATACATTTTAGTAGTATGATACCAACTTTTTTTATCGGTGCCGTACTCAAATCCATGAAAATGACATAAAGGAACCAAATCACATCCGATATTACAATAACCCAGCCTCGTTTGTCATTTGTTGGCTGCGTTGATGACAGACAGGTTCATGAAATTTTCATAAAGGATTGAGTTAAACATGTGTAATAATTGGGATCCAATAATGGTATCATATTTCTTTTCTTTTTTAAATAAAAAAAATGTATAAAATTCTCTTATTTTATTATATCACTGTAATTTATTATTTTCAAGGTCAAGGTCAATGGTTATAAATAAATTAATTTTCAACTGAACGAGAGAATATAATGGATAAAATTGTGTTTCTTAAATTTGTTTATCAAATGTTGTATTTCAAATATCAAAATTTCATACCTTGAATGTTTGGTGAAAGTATATGACAGATTTATCTCTCATGAATATTTTAGTTCCAGCGTGGATGATCTGTATTTGACCAGACTGGAGGGCAGAATACTCGAGGTGCACGTAAACTGCCTCAAACACCCCTAACTGTTGAATTAAAAAAAAAAAATTAGTAGACCCGTTAATCCAACCATTCACACTGATTTGGAATATAAAATTTGATAAATAATTTAATAAGCATAGCATTGTTAGAGTGTGAGGTTATTAGACCCGCCCGACCCAACCCAGTGACTCATCGGTGATTCTATATGGGTTGGATTCATACTTAAATCATTTTTATAAGAGGCCGGTTAAAATTTGGTTAAAAGTTTCCGGAATATCCCTCCCCCAATCTCTCTATGCAAAGTGCACACAAAAGTATAGTATTTTGTAGTTTTAAAATTTTACAGCATAGTTATTACTATTGTTACTACTAGTATTTGTAGAATTCTATGTAGTTTGGGTCTTCTTGAAGACATGTGTAACTGGTTTTCTTACGGTAGGAGTAGAAATAGTTGTCTAGTAAGAATTTTATTTATATGGTAATCTTTAAAGGCTGCTCGTAGCCACTTGTATTCTTTGCGTCAAGTTCTATATGGCGAGTTACTTGATCCATGCAAGAATTTATTTATTTTTTGATGTATAATTGGTTGTAATTGTACAAGCTCATTTTAATGAAGGTTTAATATTTGGAAATAGATGATGTAGATGCGGGCTAAGTTGCAATTGAATTGAAGATTAATGAAATTTGTACTTGAATCCTACGTTTGAGGCAAACAAAGGAGTGACTGCTAGTATTTGCAAACTCTTTTTTATATACGCGATCAAAGAGCAAGAAAATCATCTTCAAACCTAGTTTTGCATACAAATTTGAGAAAAGTCAAAACTAGAACAACATGGTTGCTGATATCAAAATGTATATGTGTATACATACATGAAATTGGAATGGAAATGAGAAGAAAAAATGCAGAGACATGCGTTTGGAGTCCAAGAAGATTAAAAATCGAGAGAGGGAGATAGAGGAGAATAGAGATCTACAGAGAGGGTTGATTAACAAAGAAAGAACATTGTAAACGCCACTTATTGAGCGGTCTTATTTAAAGTTTATTACAACACATGGAGACTATAAACTCCATTTGTTGGATTATTTCAAGTACAATATCATACTAGGGTTCAGCTATCCCCAATTATCCTAATATTGGACGATTCAGGCCGACCCTTCAAACCTAATTAACCAGCCCTAGGGACCTTAACAACAGTGCCAGTACAGTCAATAAATATGCGAACTCTGTCGAGCCTAAGGTCTCTGGTGGTGGGACATTTCTGATCCAAAATGATAACATTGAGCCAAGGCTGCTCCTTTTCAATTTGTGTAGCTGCGGTCTGTGCCGGCTTCCCAACCAACTCAGGCCATGAAGGTCTATCTGAATAAACACAAAAACTTGTATCAGAACACTATATATTATCTCCTTAGCATTGAAACTCTAAAAGTAATCTTCGCAATAGAACTTGTATTCTTTACCTGCAGCAAGAATTGATTCCATCCTCAATGTTATGCTTTTACCTTAGCTTACTTTGTGATTGATATGCAAAAGGCTGTGATGAAATGGAAATTTATAGACCAACAATCTAGTAGCTTGTGGCTTTGTTTGCATGGAAAGGAGACACATCTAGTTATATTATTAAAATATTATTTTTTGGGATCATACCTTCACTTTTCATCAAATAAACACGACTCACGTGGGAAGTTTATTATTTTATTATTTTTAACTACTTTATCATTTTTGCAATCAAAAGTTACAAATCAACTAGGTCAAAATTAATGATCCGGATCCCATGAGAAAAGATAAGGCTGGTGGCTCACCACGGCTAAATATTGAAAGCAACGGTGATATCATATTTATAATACTGACATGATATCACCGATCAATAATAAAATATCATGTGGACAAGGTAAATCTTACTCAAATAATTATTTCTTTTTCTTTTTTTCAATTTTTTGATTTGGGCAACTCCTATTCTTGTTTAAATGAGGTATTTTTCTGGCAAAAAAATTTGTTACCGTACTGAACGTTTATACTGTTAAAGATAAGGTTATAACTTTCAAAAATAAAATTATTATTGCTTGAGATAATTCATGATTGATTATGATATGTTGTGATCGATGATGAATTACTTCCATCAATTGTATAACTTCTCCTTTTTGAGTTTTAATTTCTCCTTTAAAAGTTATAATTTTAGGGATCGATGGCAACATTTTGGAATTGATAGTATGTTTTACAGTTATAATTGACAAAAAAAAATTATAAATTTCGGTACATCATCCATCTTCTGTTCCATGACCAGGAGCAGAGGGAGGGTGGGGCCAGCGGGGTCAATTGTCCCCATTAAAATTTTAAAATTTTTTTGAATTAGTTTTAAATTATAATTAAAATTAAATTTTCTAATAACTTGTCCATACTAATTAAACAAGAGCAATGCTACATAATTAGACTTAAAAATTAAATTTGATAATCATAACAATTGATTTCATTATGGATCTCAATATTTATTCAGACCCACTGTCTATTCAATGGTTAAAATTATCAAATCTAATTTTTAAATTTATTTAACATTACTCATTAAACAATTATTTTCGCAAAATACAACAAATTTTAATAATTATTGTTTAGTCTTTCTCTTCCATCGGATAGTTGCACTTGCCCCCACCGGAAAGATACTATAGCCCCTGCCCCTGCCCCTGCCCCTGCCCATGGTCCTCGTTCTGTAAGTAATGGTCCCCCTGGTGCCATAAATCCAGAAAACGTCAACGAAAATTACACATCAATGCTTGTACTATCCCTTGCTTTTCATCAATGCTGTCAAACTTTTTACTATCCCTTGCTTTTCGTAACCACAGCTACTTTATACTATTTACCGTCTGTGAGACTTTTTTTTTTTTCTGCCAAAACATGCACATATACACCCACATTAATCTACGCACTAAAACTACTCACGTCCCAACAAGATCGGGCCATGAACTCTTACTTGAATTATTAAGCACACAATAAAGTTCTAGTCGAATTAGGTTACCATATTATCTGCTTAGCATTGAAATTCTAAAAGTATTCTTAGCAATAGAACTTAAAAAAGAGCTCTTTACCTCTACAAATTAAATCGATCCCAAGTGTTATGCTTCGTCCTTAGCTTGCTTTGTGATTGATACGCACTGACTGTGATGAAATGGGTATTTACAGGGAAACATGGATTGATAACTTTACAGATGAAAGAGAAAAATAGAAGTATAGCAAAGGTGCATGAGTAAAACATGTGTATATAGTAATTAAAGTCTCACAGACGGTAGACAGTGCCAAATAGTTGTGGCTATGAAAAGCAAAGGATAGTACAAAGTTAGGCAGCATTGATGAAAGACGAATCCATGAAATTCTCGTGCAATCTCCATGAGTTAAAATACGTGTAATAATCTGACCCTGAAAAAAAAAAAAAAAGGTTTAGTAATCACGTGCAAACCATTTAAAAGAATTCTAATTTCTTCTAATAATCACATGATCGTAATGTAGCATGAAAGACTGAAAAGAAAATAGCTTTTGGTTTAAGTTCCAAATATATATATTGAGCATTTTTTTTTATTAAACTCCTCTTATCTCACAAGAATTAGTATTACAGTCATTCTCTTAATTAAGAAAATTTATATGCTGATCGATTGCTCTATAAATCAATTTGGAAGTATTGTTTTGGGACAACACATAGATATTTACAAGAAATTTTATCGTACCTACGTTGAGACCAAAAATAAAAGTCTCACCGCGGACTCTGAGCTGAAGAGTAAATTTGACCTCACAAAGATATCGTAACTATGAAAATTTGAACCCAACTATTGAATGTTAAAATTTAAGTCCTTATTCGTTGGATCATTTTAAACTAACTAAATACTTTAAATTTGCATTTTATGCACAAGTATACTAAGTTGAGGGAGATGATGTGACATTGGGGGATTTGGTTTTTGGTACTAGCAATTCAGAATGTGTCTTTCTGAGCTAACCAATCGTCTTCTGAGCTAACCAATTGTAGGAACTGTGATAATGGTGTCACTGCGGTCAATCCCAATTGGAACCCTATTGCACCTAATATCTAGGGTAACGTGACAAGTCACATACACAACGACAATAGCAAGCAATGAATTTTCCCTTTCAACCTATGCTCATGCCCCAACAAGCCCAGGCCATGAATTCTTACCTGAATCATTAAGTACAAGAAAAAGGATTAGTCGAATTATGTTATTATATTATCTTCTTAGAAATTCTAAAAATATTCTTAGCAACAGAACTTAGAAAAGACAATTATAGACATATCCCATGTGTCGCGGATTTTCCTTAGCTTGCCTTGTGATTGATATGGTCTGGCTGTGATGAAATGAGTATATTTATAGATAAACATTCCTTGTCAGCTTTACAGATGAAAGAGAAAAATAGAAGAATAGCTAAGGTTTATGAGTAAAAACATGCATGTGCATATAGTATTTTTTTTTATTATTAATGTTTTTTGGGAGAGGGAGAGGGAGAGGGAGAGGGAGAGGGAAAGGGAAGTGGAAGGAAAAGTGGGTAAGAGACTTGAATTTTTAATTTTGAAAAAATAAAATTAAAAAAGAAAAGTACCATTGAAATAAAAATTTATTGGTGCATGTGCAAATAACAATTGAAGTCTGGCAGACGGTACGAAAAGTAAGAGATAGTACAACTACAAAGTTTGGCAGCACCGATGAAAGACAAACCCATGAAATTCTCGTGCAATCTCCATGATTTAAACTTGGATAAATTTCATTAATACTCACTGAATTTAAGTCATACTTTTTTGACACTCTAATTTCTGAAATATTATTTTATACCCTTTCAATTTTTGTCTGCTAATAGATTTAACATAATATGTAATTTTATTAAATTACTCTTATTAGAACTCCCATTTTATTTAATTACCTTTACTCAAGTTAATACAAAATTAATCTATAATTTTGTCAAATTAACATAAAATTGGCATTTAATTTTTTTGATTAATGTTCAATTTCATCAAATTAGCACCAAATTTTGCCAAATCAACATACACATTCATCAAATTAACATTCAATTCATCTAATTAATATTTAATTTTATTAAATTAATACTAAATTATTATTCAATTTCATGAAATTAAAACCAAATTAACATTAAATTTTTATCAAAACCACATTAACTTTCATCAAATTAACTATAAAATTAATATTCAATTTGATCAAATTAACACCAAATTAATACAAAAATTTTATCAAATTAACATTAAAGTGATTTTAAATTTTATAAAATTATAATTTTATTTTAGCAAACTAATATTCAATCTCATCAAATCGATATTCAATTTTATTAAATTCACATCAAATTAACCCTAAATTAACATTTAATTTCATCAATTTAACATCCAATCTATCAAACTAACATCATTTTTTTGATTGAATTTCAAATTAACATTCAATTTCATCAAATCAATACCAAATAGTCATTCAATTTTTTAAATTTAATATTTCGTTTTATCAAATTAATATTATTTTTAAAACTTCACCTAACTTAGAAAGCCTATTGGTACAAGAATTTTGACGGAGGCAATTAAATTTCAGCTAAGTAGAAAGTTCAAACGAAAACCAACCACAAGCTCTAATGTTGTTGGTCTATAAATACCCATTTCATTACAACATGTGCTAATCGATCACAAAATATACAGATAGGTTGGCTTTAGAGTTTTGAGATAAATTATATCAGTTCCATTCCCAAGTATACATTTCCAATTTTTTCTTTTTAAATTTTATGTAGAGAATTCTCAAATTTCAATGTTAACAAGGTGATATAGGTATGGCAAATTATGCGATGGCCCCATCAACGCCCTTATCTCACTTTACTCTCTTAACTACATTTTTGGACTTGCACTGCCTCTCCAACTACAAAATTTCTCATATTATCTCCTCAACTATCAATTTTCTCATATTTTATTTTTAACCGTAGTCATTGATATAATACTACCCCCATTTTAGACACTACAAACATGTACTATACTACACGTGGATTTTTCGACTATACATAATGATTTTAGCTAATGTTTGAATTTATTACATCATAATCATATATATTTTTTTTGATATGAAACAACAACACTTTATTCGAAGACTAAACCAAATCATCATTTAGGAGAGGACCAAGAAATTCTGGGTTGGATACACTTTATATATCCGGTTAGATTATGATCGGATATGAATTTCGGGTTTATATATGTACGTACTAGGTGTATACGATGAAATTTTAAAAAATCTAGTATAATTTGTTAAAATTTAGTTTTATTTGAGTTATCAGTTCTGATCAAATTTTTGAATAATATATTTCTTATTGTTAAAGAGGTCAAATATAAAATATGAAGATAAAATTCACCAAATATCCAGCACCGATGAAAACATTGGCTAAAGAAGGGTGGTTTATTCAACGAAGTAGCCTCAAAATATGACTGAAAAAAGTCCAAATGATTGAGTAATTACAACTTCAACTATTTTTCGTATTATAACAAAAAATTATTTTGTGCAATATATTTTGGTATATTATTATTATTATTTTTAGTTCGACCGTCA